TAAAATTGTATTTCTGTGACTCGCATGTTACACTAGGTATCAAAAAATTTTTTGTTTCGATATGAAGAAACATTTTTTGTGATTTGCAGTACTGGATACTCTATGATTTCAATGTCGTTTATGGGCATCATATTTAAACATTTCCAAGATATTTACTCATATATATTTTTCTGTATCCAGATTTCAAGGTAAGACGTTGCGCTGTTCTGAAACTGATTGCAAGTTATATACAGTCAAAGAGCATCCTAGTGAAGTACTTTTGAATCGTCCAAAATATTCTAAGGTTAGCACTTCTTATTTGCTTACTTGAACTGAACATCCCGAATATACAACCTTTGACAATACAGTCCAGTGAATGAAGTTAGAACGGCCAATCTGCCAACACCGACGAAACAAAACGCTGCACATGCGTAGCGGAAGAGGTTGACCATCTGCTCCCACCGTTGTTCAGTTGAGACTCATTTGTGTTCCGTGTAAGACTTGTTTTACAAAGTGCTTGTTAATTACGTTGGTTCTTAACTGAGAACAGGAAAATGAACGAACAAAAGATCCATTTAAAGTTTTGTTTTAAGCTTTGCAAGACACTAAAAAAACTTATGCGATGCTGGTATGTGTTTATGAACCCCTCAGGGGGCTCACCTTCTTTAGGTGGGTACGGGTGTCACAATCCCGGGGTACCCAAGGATCTTTTCCTTTTCCCAAGGGGTTTACTATCTTTGGTAAACACGAGTGTCACGACCCCGGGGTACCCCAGTGATCCTTCTCTATTTTCGACCCTCCATCTTGTCATCCAATTTCTCCTTTTCTTCTTTTCCCGTCCAGACCACAGACCTATGAATGTTTGGCGCAGTATAGCCAAAACTGGCTCTTGAGCCATAAAACTCCAAACTCAACTCAACTCAAATCAGGTATTTATGAAGACGAACCACTGTCCATGAAATGTGTGTATGAGTTGTTCGCCCGTTTTCGAAAAGCAGGGAAACTGTTTCTCACAACCCCCGTAGCGGAAGACTAGTGACCTCCGTTAGTGATGAAAACATTAATAAAGTGAGGAAATTAATCACACTCAAGATCGTCAATTGACTTTGCATATAATAGCTGATGAGCTGCAGATTAACCATGAATCCTTGTGGAAAATTGTTACCTAGAATTTACGAATGAGAAAAACGTGTTATCCATATTGACGATATTCCTAACATCCAACGAAACGTGACGAGGCTTTTGAATTCCATCTCAAAAGCAGACTTCTTGCGAATTTTCCACTACATGTATAGCAGATCTCAGCGGTGCATAGTTATGGGAGGTGACTATTTCGAAGGACATTAAGGTAACTTTCGTTAATTTTTCATCTACGTTACTGTTAAAGGACTATTCACCGAACTTTATTGTCAGAGGTTGTATTTCTTTCCAATAAACTTCTAATACTTATATAGAAAGAAAAGAATCATGTCGAAAGATTTAAAAAATAATATATCAGTAACATAACTTATAAATATGGATAAATGTTGTCGGTTTAGTATATTTAGGCATTGTAAAAACAATAAGTAGAAACAGTTTAATGGGTGTTGGAAAGCTAAAATCTTTTTTTTTTTTGACAATTTGAGATTTTTATATTTTCAGATTGTATAGATTTTAACCTTTCTAAAAATACCTTACTTTAACCTCTAGGATATTTAGAAGCCTTTAAAACCTATTTTAAAATAATCGTTGAATCTGGGCCACGCCCATTTGAATGGCGAAAAATGTAAACAAAATACTTCGTTTTTACTTAAAAGTGTAACGTCTGGTATAAACCAAAACATGTATCTTTTATTTTAAATTGGGCCTTTTATTTTTTTATTTTCTAGCCGGTTAGAAGTCTCACTGTATACATTAAATTCAATTTATCTCAAAATGTAAATTTTAATGTGCGATGTACCTTTTCTGAGAAACTACTGTTCACAGGTATGTAAATTTTTTATGAAATATTTATAATGATGTCTAATATATACTGAAATGAGCTTTTTGTAAAAAAATCAAAAAATTATTTTTTACAAATTTTTTAAGTGAAAAATGGCTCAAATTTCGCAATGTTTGATAAAATATTTCAAAATTTATTAAAAAATTCAAAATTAGATAAAAGCTTATTTTAGTATAATGAGAGAGGTGTATACTTTTATTGTGTGAAAAATTTCAAGCATGTACATATAACAGATTTTGAGAAAAGGAACCTCGAAAACAGCCAATTTAACATTGTCAGTATAGAGAGAGAGAGAAAGGTTTCCAACTCCCCTTAATAATAATAAATAACATTTTATTTTCCTGCAATAAGAAATAAAGTATTCTAATACATCCTGACAAAATGTCTATCAACATATCAATTTATTTTTTGGACATTTTTATAATCATTGACTCATTAATTAACCTTCTTGGGAAATTCAAGCATAAAAACATTTTCAAATGTGTGTACAGTATTAAATATAATATGCTTTTATTAAATACAAAAAAAAGTTTATGTATTACAATGTAATAATTTAGAATTAAGGCTACAGTGGACAGTTAAGATGTGGAAAATTGACTAAAATATCGAAAAAAAAATTTTTGACTTATTTTAATATTATATTAGCCTCTATCAAACGCAAAAAACAAACAAAAAAAAATTTTTTTTTTTGGTTTTATGCATTTGTTACTGAGTTATGGGGTAGTTCCGATTTAGTCATCCATGGCCACGCCCCTTTTTTACATTCTGGTGTCATGCTAAAAAAGCTGTAATGTACTTTGACAGTACGAATTTTATTTATTGTAGGCAAAGCCTCTCTAATTTTTATTTTTAAATGTTAATTTATCAAGGTCTGGATGGCAACAATTTGTTTTAACTGTATCTGAGACCTAAATTGGCATTATTTGTTTACAATTCGTTCGAACTTGCGTTTGCATTTTGCGTTCAATTTTATTCAAACTTTATATTGATTTTACCAAAACAAAAAATTCTTTTCAGAACTAAAGTTCATTTTTAAATTGCCTTTGTTGTTTAAAATTATTAGTATGGATCTTATATCATCGAGATATAGAAAACCTAAAGGTCGTCCTACCAAAAGGAGAAATATGTTGGCTGAAAATAGTAAAAAGCGATGGCAGAAATCTCCTGAAACTGTTGATGAAAAAAACAGTAATAGTATGATATTGCAGAGAGATCCATTATCTGAACCGAGTACACTTCTTAATATTTTTAGTATCCAGTGAGAATTCTACGAAAGTTTTTAATTACGAAAAATTATAAATATCGTTTTAAATATGAACGTGTTTTAGTCCGACAAATTCCCCCAAGAGTTAATTCAATGGAGTGGGTGTTAATTTTCCTGAATTCTATTCAACGAGAAAATTTAAAGTATAATTTCCTTTCTGCTCTTCACATTCCAAACTACATTTAGAACAAAAAAGTTACGATAATGGTTAATTAAATAATTAGGAAACTTGGCACAATATCGTGACATGTGTCCATTTTTCGGAACACTTAGATCGCACAATGCGTAAAAAAAAAGTGTGTGTTTGAACTTATGTACGCACGTAAGAAGTTATACTTCTTTGGCGTAACAAGATTAAAGTCTTTCTAAAAATCTTTAGCAGGGCAAGCTGGGCCAAGGTCAAAAGGCGGTCACCAGCAGAGTTGAACGATACTAACCTTCAGTCAACTGGACCAGCCAAACCTGAGATAATCACGATTTAAATAAAGTTAAAAACACCCGCTCAGGAACAATATGACCAATAATATGAGGAGGGGGTCGAAGGCGGGAATGATCTGTCCCACATTCTGCATATTTCTAATCAAAGCATTTTCGT